ACACTAGAGCGTGAACAAGTCGGTTGTGTTACGACCTTCCTAGCACAAGACCGTCCACTCGACGCTATAGTCCCGCTGATGCTTAACCCATCGAAGCAGAACCTGGGATCATGTTCGCTCTGCGGCACTACATTGCGAAAACAAGATATCGGTTCCGAGAAACCGCATCGTCCTGTCGAAATCCCCTGCGGGCACATCTTCGGCTCGGAGTGTATTGTAAGCCATTTTCGCAAGCAGGCCGGGGAAGGTTGGAGTTGTCCGTATTGCGGGTGGAATCTGTTCGATGCGCCGCATCATCCTGTGACACCGGGGGAAGTCGTAGAGAGCTGTGATCGCATCTTGAAGTACCTGGACCCACCTGCGGGTGTCACGTTTCCGGTGAGTCCGCACTCGTATCTTGAGAAACTAGGGACAGTTTTTGAAGATGCGGATGGGATACGAGGGCATTTAGGCTGCTGGCTCAACGCTCCGTACGCGGCGTATGGTGAGTTGTTAGCATTACTCGATTTGGCGTTGCATCTTGCGAGGGATAGGCTAGATGCTGCAACGAGAGGGGACATTATCGAGTTTAGGGAGGTGGTGGGAAGACAATTTCAGGTCGAGGCGAGGATTCAGTGGTTGGAGTTTTTGAGGAGTTGTCATCCTAAGTCTCCGGTGGTTTGGTAGGGAGACATAGATCGTAGTTGCAAACTCAGGTTAGGCCACCGTCTCGAGACCTCTTTGATGGAGGCTCGCCTTTATGGAGAGCTCTTGCTGCCTACCTCCAGTGAGATACCAAGTAGAACCCACTGGGGTTAGCGCCGAGTATCTTCCCTTAAGGCCCAAGTGCTATCCCATTATAATAGCCTCTTTCTCAACTCTGCAACACGGTGCGTCTTACCCCGGGTACAAGTATCCACAGAGGGAGACACCAACATGCATCGTGGTTCGTAACACGCAACATAAAGACCCCGTCCCACCTCCTACCACGAGTCATGCCACCACCCTCCGTCGAACCGTCCCTCCGCGCCATCCGAACCCTCCGACTCGTCCGACACTTCGGCCGACAGCATCGGGCCTTGAGGATGCCAAGAGTACCGGAGCAGAGAATCCCAATACGCAGCGTGTGCATTAGCCCACGGCAATTAGCACATCCCGTAGCTTCGGCGTAATGAACACGCACGTGAAGATCACCACACCCTCCCGCAGTAGTCACGGAGCATCGGACATAACCCACGGAGCAAGAACAAGAAGTATCGATTGAACCACGCTACCCAACAGGGCGCTCTAGGAATGGGTATAGACAAAGAACAGCGACTTGCGATGAGGGGAAACCTCTCTAGTGTAGGAAACAATGTGTGTATGTATGTACAAGAAGAGAAAGAGGGGAAATAATGCAATGAGTGGTGACTGCAGACCAGCAAAAGGTCCAGCCTTGAACGTGTGTAACCAAGAATCAAAAACGCCCAGCGATGCTTATACCCAAATGCCAATGCCAGAGTGATGATTAGGCGAGCAAACATCAAGCCTTCTCCTTCTTAAAGCAATTCTTGAGGCGGAGCTTGATCTTGTACATGTACCAATCGCTCTTCCTCTTCAGTCCAAGACCCTCGCTCCCGTCTTCACTAGCTTGAGTCTTGTTGTCTTTACTCTTACTACGCCCACCTTTCTTCTCTTGCTTGCGCTTCTTCTCGTTCATGACAAACATGCTTGTAGGACGCTTCTTGAGACCAGGACCTTCGGTGACGCCGGAATCCCACATGCCGGTTGTCGTGATGGGCGCATAAGCGGATTGTGTCTTGCGGGAACGTTCAGTTTCTGGCATAGCGGGCGATAGGAGCGGGGAGGCGAGGAGAGGCGCGGGCGAGCTGGGGCCTTCGGTTGATGGGGAGATGACGACGGGAGAGGGGATGGCAGCAGGGGGTTGGCGGGTTGATTCGGCAGAAGGTCGCTCTATAGGTGAAGGGAGTGAGAGCTCTTTGATGCGAAGAAGCTCTACGCTGCGTTTCATGGTGCGCTCTTCGGGGGTCTCGACGAGGGTCTGGTCTTCGAAAGTGAGGCCGTACTTCTTCCTCATACTGCCTGTCATGCTATGCAGGGCGGTGCCGGTGGAATTCGCACGTCGTGCACGTGTCTTGACAACAGGTACGGGAGAGGCATGTATCGCCGTTTTGGTTGACGCAGGCGAAGGAGGAGTATCCGTGAAGCTTGTCGTGCGACGGGGGAGCCTTTCCATGCTAGGTTTGAACATCCGAGGAAACGAGCGACGCTTCTCGTCGAGAGTCGATGCTGGAGATGGCGAGCGCGGGCAGTCCAACATGGACATGGAGAATGTGCGGTTGGCGCATGGACGGAAGGTTGCAGAGGGTGTCAAGGTTGGAGGCGAAGACATGGAGGGGCTCTCGGTCGCGAATTCTCTAGACGCAACCCAGACGCCAGAAGCTAAGATGAATTGTCGGAGTGCGTCACCTGTCTCGGTGGGGAGCTTATCCGTCAATGTGTCCATGAAGGTGTTCATGTCGATGCTGGAGGTGTCGGTAGTAGGAGACTGGGTGTAGGAAGTTATGCTAGGCGTTGACGGCGAGGCCGCAGATGGCATTGCGTATGTATCCATGACATCTATGCGACTGCGGGTCATTGTCGCAATGATGGGATGGCGCCTGGAGTTGACACTCAAGGTGCTGAAGGTAAACTTCTTCTCGTCTGGAGCCTGAGGAAGCGATGGCGACAGCGGCGCAGTCGTCGACATGCTCGACACACGACGCGAGTGGTTTGGCTTCAACACCCAACGAGCCTTCAGCGTCAGTCCATGTTCGTCAGTGCTATTGAACTCGTAGCCTCCGTTGGGCATGTCGGTGACTGCCCAGCGACTCGTCCCGTCGTTCATGCAAATCTCCGTTGTCTCAGTAACCCCCCTGTCGCACTTCCGTGAGCTGATGACGCCAATTATGTCGCGCGAGCCCCAGCGATCTTCTTCCGACTTATTCTCGTCATCCTGACTGTTGTATGCTTCTGCTTGCGCAATGAGGAGATCGTGCGGTCCCAGTCTTTCCCTAGTGTTGAAGCTTCGCGAAAGACGTCTCGAGGCTCGCTGTGGAATGGCCGAGAAAGGAACGACTTCATAGGCTGGCTTTGGTCGCTGTGACGCAATGACTTGGTGTAGCTGCAGGGCAACTCTTTGCCGACTGTGTAGCTTGGAGCGAGTGTTTACCGGTCGGGCGATGATGTAGGAGGTCTTGGACCGAGGGGTCCGCTTCTTGGGCTTGACGCTGGCAGCATCGCTGCCGGAGGAGACAGGTCTTGAGGGAGCGAGGGTGATGGTGGCTTCGTCATGCGGCTTCTTCATCGCATCCCTATGCGAGGCGCGCGTAGGAGTGTCAGGGACATCGGTCGTAGGGTCGGTATGGGTAGAAGGAAGGGTCGCCTGCGACGGTGAAGGAGTCTGGCCGCGCAAGACGGAACCGAGAAGGGAAAGCGGCATCTGCAGGAAAGAGCCATTGGTGGCGGGCGAGGCTGCACGCGGTGGTGAGCTCTCATGGCCGTGTTTGGCGGCGTCGGCGGTCAACATGTCCAGCAGCATTGCTCCAGCACTCAATCCAGGTGTGACATGCTGAGAGACCCGTCAGCAAACAAGGAAATGACGAAAACACAGGCGCAATCAGCGCATGGGACGCCATTGTTCTTATGAAGGCGGGCCCCAAGGGCTGTGCGCTGAAGTTTGGAGGTCGTGCCCCCTCAAGCGTAATAGGCACACCCACAGGCGACGAACAACTGGGGCTGACTTACAAGCCACAGCTAGCAGGCTGACCTTATGCAGGGAGTGGGCTGGCCAATCAATCGCTCCCTATAATTTGAGCTTGTGCAGCTGAGTGTCTCAGAACGCGGCGCAGATGCAATTGCAGAAAACGAAATGGAAACAAAAAAGAAGCCGCCCTGATGGGCCCCCCGTCAGGTCATTCATCGGCCGGCAGGGCTCTACTCACCATCCGCATCGTCGACGCACAAGGCACACAGGCTCCAACGCCGGTAAAGTCAACCGTCGTCCGTCCCGTGGGCGCAGGGACGCCAGCAAAGCCGCATCCGGCAAGGGGCTAGAACGATTGGCCCATCGTGCATATCATGCACACTCGCTACGAGCCCCTCTTTTTGCTTCATCGGGGAGCGATTACTCGGCTTCGGCGGACAAAAGCTGGGGGGCGGCTTACGGTGTGCTCATCGCCAGCAAAGAGACCGCTGACGGCGAGGTCTCACTTCGGTTCGGTGCGGACCTTTGAGCGAGCGCAGAAGACACGTTCCGCAGGGGTCCGAATACCTGATTATCTCACGATCTTAAGATTGATCATGCGGCACGGCGACCATGGAACCTTCATAAGGAACTCTGGGCAGTCAATGCACGGCGTATTCGTATACACCGAGGGAAGCTTCGATTGGCTAGCCTTGCGATGTTTCAAGCGAACAACGCTGTCAGCCAAGCCACCCAGGAGACACCGACCATGAATTTCGCACTGAAGCATCATGGCAAAAGTAGATCGCAGCTGGCGCGAAGCTTGTCAAGCTCGCACGTTGCCGTTGTGATGTTCGCGACAACAATGGAACAAGGCACCCCGCGGCCGCCTGAGGCTTACGCAACTCTACCATGAACGTCGCGAGGAGGGTTTCGAATTAGCCGTTACCTCACCGACAAAGCAGCACACCATTACGCCGTGCTGCACCTCTTGCTGCACGACCCGCTACAACTCACGATCTTTCTGCAAGCCCGCTCGCTTCTGATCGTCGGTTCCGTTGTGCTCCGCATCCCGCTGCTAAATTTTCACCGAGACCGACTCGTCAGCTGGAGGGCACATTACCGTCACGCACTCGGCTCAACCGAACTTCCGAGATATCTAACTTTCGAAACAGGAAAGCATTGCGTGCGAAAGGTATTACTATTCGCCCATTTGTCAAGATAACCCCGATTCTCACGGCCGCAACGATAGGAAAGTTGTGTCAGCGAGGGTCGTGATCTTTTGCAACAAGTACAAATGTCAACGGACGAAATATCAGGCCAGGGCTTCGGTAGCCATCCATCAGCTGAGAGCCTTGTCAATTGGTTTACGCAAAATGGGGGTCAGCTCAGTCCAGACGTCCAGATCGTCTACAGCGACTCGCATGGCTTTCACATGCGCGCTGCGAGGCCATTGAGCTCCACTGTGGTGGCTTCATGCCCATTGAAGCTGACGCTGTCTTCTCTCAACTTAGACCCAGAGGAGAAGGAGGTGTTGTACATCGAGAGCCCTCTTCAACGGTGTCGGGGGAAGATTCCGGATCACATTCTGACGTACCTGCTGTTGATTGAACAGCGCAAGAGGGGCGATCAGTCGCCATGGCACGCCTACATCACATGTCTACCAGGGCCTGAAAGCATGACTACGCCTCTGTGGTTTGACGAGAGCGATATCGCCTTTTTGACCGGTACCAGCCTAGTGCCTGCGACCAAGGAAAGAAAGGCTGAGTTGCAACACCAATGGGAAAATGCTGTGGCTGTCTTGAAAGAGCTTGGTATGCCTCTTGCTGACGAGATCGAACTGTAAGTCTTTTAGCGAGTGCGATTCAGCGCAATCTGTATCGTGTCTAGCGTGCACTATAAAGTCAGCACTACCTCTGCCACAACTGAGACACTGCAAGCGAGTTGTGCTTTTGTGTGCCAACAACACAGATCTCCACATATATGGCTCATGATACACCGATGCATCAGCTCTCTGGCGCAGCCTGCTAACGACCCTCAGCGATTCGTTACTATGGGCAGCCACCATCTTCACTTCGCGAGCCTTCATCTCGACCCACATATTACCGGAAAGAGAGACCATACCTATTCTCTTTCCGGTGATCGATATTCTGAATCACTCTGTATCCGCCAAAGTAGAATGGGACTTCCAGCCTCACCAGTCTTTCACGCTCAAGTGCCTTGAAGGCGAGTCGTTTCAGTCCGGCCAGGAACTGTTCAACAACTACGCACCTAAGCAGAACGATGAGCTACTCCTCGGCTATGGTTTCTGCCTAGAAGAAAATCCTATTGAGCAGTTTGCTTTGAAGCTCGCGTTCCAGCCGCAACTACAGCAGTATGCGCAGCAGCTAGGTCTGCTGAATCCAGAGAATGTGCCTTTTGGCATGTCGAAAGATTTCCTGGCCACCGATCCGAACAAGGAGCAGCATTTCCTACGCGCCAAGGACCATCCATTCGGTCGCTACGATAACCACGTACCCTTCTTCCGTGGTGTGCCTCCGTATATTGTTCACTTCTTCTTCATCCAGACAATCATAACTTCTGAAGTGGATGTGAGCACTATCGACGTCGCAAGACCAGGCCCGAGAATTACGCTGCAAGTATTGGTACTCCTGCACCAAGCGCTGGAGCAGAGGTGCAGTACTCTTCCACTGCAGATAGATCAGGAACCCCGGAACGACAAGCAAAAATACGCGAAGATCTATCGGGACAGCCAGGCCAGAATCATCCATTCAGTGCGGCAAGAGCTCAAGGATGCGATCACCAAGTTGCGCTCACCCAACGCTGAACTTCCCACCCGCGCCTTGCACAGTCTCTCTGATGTGCTGGCAGCCTTCAGCACCGACCTTCCAGAACCAGCGAAAACCTTCTCAAGCGCTCTCAACAAACATGGTATTCAAGGTCAACAAAACGAAGGTCTGGAGTGGACGGTGTTATTGGCCGTCCTGTTATCGTTGATGTTGACTACACAAGACACAAACGACATTAAGATCTTTGCTCTGATGCGCGACTTGTGCTCCAAACACACCCTTCCCACACTCGAAGACGGCATTGAAGATGTTGACACATACACCTTCGTCGACGAAAACCTCGGCGACTTCGTGCATCTCCCTTCTGCAGATGCAAACGCCGCACCGACGGATATACTAGACGACTTGGGCATGACGTTCGTCAATCAGCCAGTCGATAGCACAGCACCTGTCTTCATCAAAGGACGCACAGAGAACCTCGGCGCGAGGATAATCATGTGGGCAATGAAGGTGGTAGAGAAAGACGTTGTACCTGTGTTTGTAGAGGGGCAGATAGTAAGATGTCTGTATGCCAGAGCGCAGACAACGGAGAAGGGGCAAAGTGACGAGGCGTGGATGTATGAGTAGAACCAGAATACATTCTCGTATTGCCCGTTCCACATATACCTGCACTCACTACTACAATCTTCTAAGTTATCGTGTGTGTACCTACGTACCTACTTTGAAGTCTTCATTGCAACAGAAAAGTAACATGGCAAATAACTTCTTGTATACCGCCGAGCGCAACGCAACTGAGAACTCGTGCGTCTCCTGTTGTCACATATATCCATGTGTCGCCCTAATTTTATAAGTTGTTGCTACTTTATAGTGAACAAAAAGAAGTGAAGGGGCAAATTACCGTAGAGGAGTAAAGGACAGAAGTGCCACGTTACTGCAATCCAGCTCGTACGTCATGATACCGCTACCACAACCGCTCAACACATCTCCTCAAGGCAAGGCTTGATTGCCTTCGAGAGTGCGAAAGACATAGTAGTCAGCATCTTGGACTCACGCGGGCAAATTGCAGTCTGTTTCACCGGTCGCTACGTTGGCCTTAGACGATAGCCGTACGCAGCGATAACAACTCCGTATACAACCCTCTCTCGTCTTCTTCTCCGATCACCTCACCACTGTTTCCCTCAGTCACCACTCCCCGCAATTTGAGACGTTTGACGCGCTCACTGTCATCGGTCCTCACCCAATGAGGATGATGGAAGCCCCGCACTAGCGTGACAGCTAGCGTGTGTCCCCTGCAGCGTCTCGCTTTGGCAACGCCAACGCGTAAACACAGACCCTCCTCGAACAAAACACGCCTCCACTTTTTGCTTTCTCACCACCACGCCTTCCTTTCGTCTACACTCGCTGCTTCTTATCGCCTTTATCGCTTACTCTACACGAGATAGAGCGCTTATCGTCTTTAATTTCGTCCTTTCGTCCTGCGGGACACGATCACAGCTATGGCGGACGACTCTATAATGGACGACTCCGTATTCGACGAGGGCGCGAGCTCCGACTTCGCGCCGCCCGCGAAGCCCGCAAAGGCTACCAAAGCCGCCGCAAAGCCCAAGGCAGCAGCAACGAAGAAAGCAGCAGGTCCTGCGAAACCTCGAGGACGGCCCGCCGGCGCGGCTGCAAAGCCAAAGGCGAAGGCCGCCCCCAAGAAGAAGGCGAAAGCCGTCTCAGACGATGAGAACTCTGATATCGACATGGCCGAGGACCCTGTCAACGACGACGAGTCACTCCTAGACGACACACCACCAAAGGCAAAGAAGGCAGCAGCCCCGAAGAAGTCCAGCGGCAAGCCTCTTGCAGACATCGCGAACGAGAGCTTCGGCGGAGATGCCGACGATGTACCCATCTCGGCGCCCAAGAAGGGCGGCGCCAGCAGCAAATACCAGATGGTGAGTGCGCAGGTCCAGATAGGAGAGCAACGGCTAATATAGATACAGTTGACGCATTTGGAGCACATCATGAAGCGCCCCGACACATACATCGGCTCCGTAGAGCGCCAGACGGACAAGATGTGGGTGTACAACTCAGAGAGCGAGTCGATGGAGTTCCGCGACGTCTCCTACGTCCCCGGTCTCTACAAGATCTTCGACGAGATCCTCGTCAACGCGGCCGACAACAAGCAGAATGACAAGAACATGAGCGAGATCAGAGTCACGGTTGACCGCGAGTCTGGCGAGATCTCCATCAAGAACGACGGCAAGGGAATCCCAATTGAGATTCACAAAGTCAGTCGCTTTCAAGCACCAGCCAAATACACTACTGACCTAACTAGGAACACGGCATATATGTACCAGAGATGATCTTTGGTCACCTCCTCACCTCCTCCAACTACGACGACAACCAGCAGAAAGTCACGGGTGGTCGAAACGGTTACGGAGCCAAGCTTTGTAACGTTTTCAGTACCGAATTCACAGTCGAGACGGTCGATTCGAAACAGAAGAAGAAGTACAAGCAGACCTGGACTGAGAACATGAGCAAGATGGGCAAGGCCAAGATTACCGACATCAAGGGGGACGACTATACCAAGGTCAGCTGGAAGGCCGACTATGCGCGCTTCGGTATGGCTGGCATCGACGACGATTTCGAGGCCATCATCAAGCGCAGGACCTACGACATGGCTGGTACGCTACGGGGCATGAAGGTCTACCTGAACGGCGACCGCATCAAGATCTCGTCATTCGCGAAGTACATGGAGATGTATACCAAGTCGATCTCGCGCGACCAGGGCAAGAGCGAGGACGACAAGGAGAAGGACGTCATTATCACAGACAAGCTTGACCGCTGGGACATTGGTTTCGCCGTGTCTGATGGTTCCTTCAACCAGGTCTCTTTCGTCAACTCGATTGCGACTACGTCTGGCGGTACCCACGTTAACCACATCGCCGACCAGATCATCGACAAGCTCATGGCGATTGTCAACAAGAAGAACAAGGCAGCTGTCAAGCTGAAGCCTGCACAGATCAAGAACCATCTCTTCCTGTTCGTCAACTGTTCCATCGTGAACCCGGCCTTCACATCGCAGACCAAGGAGCAGCTCACGACCAAGGCCAGCCAGTTCGGTAGCAAGCCGGTCCTCAGTGACAAGTTCCTGAACGCCATCGCCAAGACCGAGGTCATCCAGAATATCATGCACTTTGCGCAGCAAAAGGCTGATCAGATGATGAAGAAGACCGACGGCAACAAGCGCAACCGTATCAGCAACGCAAAGCTCACAGATGCCAACAAGGCAGGAACCAAGGACGGACATCTCTGCACGCTCATCCTCACTGAGGGTGAATCAGCCAGTGTACTTGCTTTGGCTGGTCGTGCCGTAGTCAACCAGGATCTGTTTGGTGTCTTCCCGCTTCGTGGTAAGCTCCTCAACGTCCGAGACGCCACTGTCGACCAGATCATGAAGAACGCCGAAATCCAAAACATCAAGAAGTTTATGGGACTTCAACATAAAAAGGAATATACGGTCGCCGACATGAAGAGCTTGCGTTACGGTCATCTCATGATCATGACGGATCAGGATCACGACGGTAGTCATATCAAGGGTCTACTCATCAACTTCCTCCAGTGCCAGTTCCCGAGTTTGCTCAAGATCCCTGGCTTCCTCTTAGAGTTCATCACGCCTATCGTCAAGGTTTGGAAGGGCGACCCCAAGAACCCGCGCGGTATGAAGAGCTTCTTCTCCATGCCCGAGTACGAGGAGTGGAAGGAGCAGCACCAGCACGAGAAGGGATGGGATCACAAGTACTACAAGGGATTGGGTACCAGCGACATTCCCGATGCCCAAATCTACTTCAAGGATCTCGATACCCACATGAAGCGCTTCCAGGTCATGCGTGAAGAAGAAGAGAAGCTCATCGAGCTTGCTTTCTCTAAGAAGAAGGCGGATGCTCGTAAGGACTGGTTGCGCGACTTCGTCCCCGGTCAGCATCTTGATCTTACCACTCCCGACATCTCATACGATGATTTCGTGAACAAGGAGTTGATCCTTTTCTCCATGGCCGATAACGTGCGATCGATTCCCTCGGTTATTGATGGTTTGAAGCCTGGTCAGCGTAAGGTCTTGTACACCTGTTTCAGGCGAAACATCAAGAAGGATGTCAAGGTCGTTGAGCTCGCTGGTTCCGTCTCTGGATCTACCGACTACGCTCACGGCGAAGCCTCCATGCAGGGAACCATTGTCAATCTCGCACAGAACTTTGTCGGTACCAACAACATCAACTACCTGGAGCCCAGTGGTAACTTCGGTTCTCGTCTCAAGGGTGGTGCCGACGCTGCCAGCGCCAGGTACATCTACACTCGCCTGTCGCCATTTGCACGACGAATCTTCCACGGCCACGACGACGCGCTACTGAAGTACGGTGAATCTGATGGCCACAAGATCGAGCCTGAGATGTTTGTTCCGATCCTACCCACGATTCTCATCAACGGTTCGAGCGGTATCGGTACTGGTTGGAGTTCTGAAATCCCCAACTTCAACCCGATGGATATTATCGACAACATCAAGCGTCGCATGCAGCCAGGCGCCACCAAGGAAGACATGCTTCCAATGATCCCGTGGTACAAGGGCTTTAACGGTACAACGACGGTGCTCGGTCCCGATCGATACCAATTCACGGGAGTTGTCCGACAAACTGGCGATAACGAGGTTGAGATTACTGAGCTGCCAGTCCGTTACTGGACACAAGACTTCAAGGAAAAGCTTGAGGAGATTATCAAGGCCGAGAAGGGTCCCTCATATATCAAGGACTACATCGACTACAACACCCCAGACCGCGTCCACTTCATCATCAAGATGGAAGACAAGTACATGGCAACAGCTCTTGCCAAGGGTTTGGAAGAGATGTTCAAGCTCTTCAAGCCTCAGTCAACCAGCAACTTGGTCGCTTTCGACGCACATGGACGCATCCACAAGTACGCAAGCGTTCTCGATATCATTGAGGAGTTCTACCACGTCCGTCTGCGATACTACGAGAAGCGGAAGCAGCATCAACTCCAGGTTATGGAGAAGGAGCACTTGAAGATGACGAACCAGGCCAGGTTTATCCAGATGATCATCGACGGCAAGCTCATTGTGTCAAAGAAGAAGAAGACTGTGCTTGTTCAAGAGCTCAAGAAGCTTGGCTTCACTCCCTTCCCCAAGGTCGAGGATGCTAAGGCTGCTGGTGAGGTCGAGGATGTCCAGGAAGATGACTCGGAAGATGTTGAGACGGAAGTGTCCGCCAACGATTACGACTATCTGCTAGGTGTAAGTGCTACTTACCCTTTCCTCAATACCAAAACTAACGATTTCTAGATGGCTATCTGGTCTTTGACCCAAGAGCGTGTCGAGAAGCTTCTGAAGCAGATCGGCGAGAAGCAACATGAGATCGACACTCTCATCAAGCTATCACCAAAGGACATTTGGACTGTCGACCTTGAAGCCTTCATGGATGAATGGAATGTCCAGCTGGACGAAGAGGTCAAGCGCAAGAAGAAGATCGCTGCCATCACTCGCCGACCTTCCGCAAAACTCGGTATCGGCGGCGGCAAGGGCAAGGGAAAGAAGAAGAGAAAGGCAGATGGAAGCGACTCGGACGACTCCGGATCCGACTTTGGCCCGGTTAAGAAGAAGGCAAAGCCGAAGAAGGAGGGTCTGCTTAGCTATCTGCAGCAGGAACCAGTGAAGAAGCCTAGTGCGGCAGAAGCTCTCAAGAGCAGCACCGCGTTCGGCTCAACCGCGCCGCAGAAGCAGGGTACCTTGCTCACCCATCTGGTCAAAAAGAAGGAGGAGACGCCCCAGACGGAAGGCGGAGAAGATGGTAGATCAGCTTCCGCAGACTCTGCACCAGCGCCAGCTGCAACCAAACGGGGTCGCCCAGCTGCTGCAAAACCCATCAAGAAGGATCCGCTTTCGGACGATGAAGACTCGGACGTATTCGCTGCAGTCGCCCAGGAGGCTGCAAAGGAGCCCTCCAAGACCACTGCTGCACGCACTGCTCGCAGCGCAAAGAAGCAGGCACCCAAGTACACCATGGGCAGCGACTCCGACGACGATGATGACGACGACCTCCTCGGCGATGTTAGCAGCATGGTCAAGACCATCGGATCCGGTACGAACGGCGTTCCCATGTTCAAAGCCACCACTACTGCACGCCCAGCAGCACCCGTAAAGAAGAACAGCCCCATCGAACCCATCGAGATCGACGGCGACACCACAAACTACGAAGGTCTGATGCCTCAGTCTTCGCCCCAACGCCCTCCCCCTCGCAACATCCACGACACAATCATGAGCTCCGACGAGGACGACTTCGATCTCGGCGTCAAGAAGCCCGTCGCAAGCAGACTTACCAAACCCGCCGCGAAGCCCAAAGCCGCACCCGCTAAGCCCGCACCTAAACCCAAGGCCGTTGCGAAGAAACCCGCTGCCCAGAGCCCTGCAGCAAAGGCTTACGCAAAGAAACACGGCAAAGATGCAGAAGCTGCGAAGCCGGCTGCCAAGGCTAAGAAGCAGATCACCATCGACTCTGACGAGGATGAAGAGATGGAGGATGCGGACGCTATTGCCAACGACATCCTGTCTGATGAGGACGAGGATGAGCCGACTCCTAAGCCAAAGTCTCGCGCACCTGCTGCTCGACCTGGTCGCAGGGCTGCTGCTAAGCCGGCGAAGTACGTGGTTAGTGATGATGAGGCGGAGTCGGATGAGGCTTCTGAACCTAGCTTTGATGACGACGATGATAGCGAGTAGATTGCTTGCTTGCTTGCTTGTCTTGTCGGTGGGTGCATGTGGGTGGGTGTTTTATACCCTGGTGATTTGGCGTTGTGGGCTTGAGAGTACTGGCTCTCTTCTTCGTGGGGCGGTGCGGTTGAACTGATTGATGGTTCATCGGCGTTTTGGCGTCGTTTTCTTTCTTGAGGTATACTTCCTTCAATATGTATATTTATTAGAAATATACTTGAACGTTGCTTGAGCTATAAACTTTGTGATTTTATGTTGTGTATTCGAAGTCTGAAGATGAGTGGTGTGTGATAAAGTGTTCAACCGACTTACAAAAGACATTTATACGAAAGTTCTTCGAGGCGTCGCGGCTCTATATCAACGGCGAGCGCGCATAGGCTACCGATCTCTCGCGAGCAGAGGTAAACACGTTCATGGGGCAATGTCAACCGACTCAAGCTTGACATTTGTGGCACATGGTGATATCCGTCAGTTCTATTATTATGCCTTGGGATCTTACCATCTTCCATGTCCGTCCATAAGATGTACTTCCGAAAACGCGAGCAAGAGCGTTGATTTGTCCTTGACATATTCCTCCGATTTCTAGCTTCTCCTGGTAAACCAAACACCGCCGCATCTCGTCAGTGAATACAACGGAAGGCCCTCCTTTCCTCAACTGTACACGCTAATCTCCGTCTTGATCCCCATGCAATAACCACGCCTCTGCGACATCACTAGTATCTACACGCGAGGTAGAAAAGAACAATCCCAACCCCCAAGGCCACAAAATGGACAACGACAACATCTACATCTCCATCTCCACCCTCTTCCATCAACACAGAACCTACTTCCTACACACCACCTCCATCCTCTTTCTCACCCTGCTCCTCCCCAAAATCCTCAATCTCCCACACTTCTATCGCACAACGATCTTCCTCTGCATCTCCACCTTCATCCTTTTCTCCGCAGTAAAGCGGTACTCCTCGAACCTACCCCCAGAAGAAGAAGATACGGTACCACCGGACATAGACACCACACCAACGCTCAGCCTAGGAGCAAAACCAACGATGCAGACGTCGCCGACGTTTGAGCGCGTCCAGGCAGCTGGTAAAGCGAAACCTACGAGCGCAGTCGTGTGGGCTAAGAGTCAGGTTTGGAAGCGGGATGCGCAGGGTGGACAGAGGAAGGGTGGTGGGAAGAGAGAGAGGGGTGAGGAGATGGGGTGGTGATGGTGTGGTGATGTACTGGAGGGAGAGGGAACTGTGTTGTGGATTAGGGTCAGGGGTGTAGGAGGGTTTGCGGTTGATGAAAAGGATATGTCGTTGGTGTGGCGGGAGGGTTTACTTGTGAGATGAAGGGACGGATGTGTGAAGTGGCGGGCTTGGTGAATTGTACAACCCATGACGGATTCGTATCAAGTGTCTGAGTGTTTGTTGGCTGAGTCGGTGTTGTCGATTTTGGTACAGTTTCATCGGTAGCCACTCAAAAGGCCATCGTAAATTACCGTGGAGATCGAGGCAAGCCTACTCATGTCTGACGGGTAGGACGGCTGTAAGACACGTATGACAAGAGAGTGATGACAGGGGAACTATAAAGCTGAGATGGATATCGCGGACCAAAAGTAAGGAAATGACGTCATGATGAACAAACTCTCCCAAAGAAAGAATCTCGGCCATTGAGATGATGCTGGGTATCGTAATTCCATATCATTAACTATAGTATTATTACAATCGCTAAAGATCAATGCAAACGCCGCATAACGGTCGTACACGTGTACTGGTATCCTAAAAAACTTTCCCTTGATCCAACCAGCATCGGCATCAAGCACGATGTATTATCCACCTTCATATCATACATGGTCCAACTTGCGCTGCGCGACTAGATGCGAGCAGGCTCAGACGTCGCTGACATCTGATCGTGTGTTCCAGGAAGCGTCGGAGTAAGACTTGTAGGTATTCTAAACCTGGCTCATGGAGGGACCTCCACGGCGGATACCGCCGCGCAGGTTGGCACCGCTGCCGCGTCCGTTCATGATGTTGACGGCGAGTGTGGCGACGAAAGCGGCCCATCCGAACCAGAGGAAAGCGGTGGTGGCCTGAGCTTGACGGCAGTTCTGCTCGGTGTCTGCGGAGCTGTTGAGGACCTTGTTGGAGCGGGTGTATCCCTGATACATGTTAGATTATGCTCTTAGCGGAGAGATCACATATAACTTACGGCGTTCGAGCAGCTGTGTGCGCCAATGTATGCGGGAAGCGCGACGGCGGCGCAGAAACCGAAGAGGACGCTCAGTCCATCCATGGCGATGTCCACGATGGGGATGCTGAACTTCTCGATGAAGGAGGTGGGCAGGAAGTATAGCAATGTGAACAGCCACCATACACCGACGAAGAGTGAGTAGTTGATGATGGAGTGGGTTCCGTTCCACGCGCGGGCGATGTTGTTGCCCATGAATGCGGTGACGAGGATGGCGCAGATCAACTGTACGATGTTAATGAGGTTCTTCGATGAGTCAATGCCATAGACATACCTGCCAGGCGCGAAGGCCCATGGAAACAGCTCTTGACACCATTTTGCTGATGTGTATATGGAAAATGTGGTGGTTGGGTGGTGTGTGGATGCAAACGAACTCAAGTTCGTCGTTTCTAGCAAAGCGTTAGGTTTGCGGTGGAGATGAATGAATCGAGTGGCTGCGATAGATGAAGGCGATCTGCTGCAGGAGGGCTGGGCTGGGGCTGGAGAATTATAGCAGTCGGCGGCTGGCGGGAGGAAGCGGGTCTTTGTGGCAGCGTCATAGGACCCTGGGCGACCAGCAGTGACGTATGAGGGTCCAATCGTCGCTTCCACCTCCGGAACTATCGGTACTTGCCTTGTTGGTAGCGCCGATCACGACGTGCGGATCTTTGACGGAAGCTGGAAATTGGAATTGCTGCGTGGTGTTTGTTTGCGATAAAGACGGTCTTTCGCGCGTGCATTACTGGAATACTATATATGATTCTACGTTGTTACGCGGCTGTTCTCCTGGTTGCTGCGCAACAACAGCGATGATGCAAGTCGGCACAGGGGTGTTCATCAGCGCTATTAGCCACTGCTGACGCCCCTAGGCGCCTTCGCTCGCATGACCGCACCGTCACCCTAATTCTTTTCTCCGAGGGGGCTACTGCAGTCTTCTACGTAACAGCTCATGCTATGACATGCGCTGCGGCTTCTGGACCGTCGCCGACATGCAAAGTTTGTCTTGACGACATGAGGTTTGACGTTGGTTTTGCACGTGGAGGAGGTTTGGATCTGCGGATACTCGCTCCCCGGATCGACGACGTGATCGCCATCGTTGCGCTCCGTGCGAACTGTTGTGTGACGCGGCTGGACCATGTTTGCAAATCGTCCTCGCACGAGCAGCGCTGGTCAGTCATGGATTGTACTATCTTTTGGGTTGAAAAGCACCCGCAAGGAGATGCTGTTGCAGATTACGCGCTTTATAGTCTTGCCTGATATCGTGAAACCTAGCGGACGCGTTTTGTTGGCGACTCGGTCCTTTCGCAATGTTGACGTTTTTCAGAAACCTTCTTTGTGCCGTCGTGCAGTCGCATTGTTTTACCAACGCGAGATCCATGCGCGCAGACTTTGTCCAAGGTAGGGTGGATTAGTAACATTAAACCTCAGCAAGCATATTCACATATCACCTCAGGCAAAGAAAAACCTGAACAGGCCTGCAGCCTACATCGGGATAGAAACATGCGAAGGAGGTGACCCAACGTCAGCGTAGGCCCCAGAGTGTTCAGTGTTTTTCTTGCATGAGGAGATATTACACATCAACTCCATAAAGACGATTCAATGAAGCAACCACTTGTCATTCATCTACATAGTAATGTCCAACCCGTATCTGTATTGCAAAGACAAGAGTCTCAGTCTAGGCGACTTTTTCAGATTGGCCGTCCAGCTACCCATCGCTGCCCGAGAGCAGGAGGGTAACATGGACGTATTGATCTTCGACATTCCTTCGACAGCGCCAACAAGCGGCGTGTACCAAGTCACCCCTTCCCATACCAATGAAAAGGCTTTGAGAAGGTGGCTTTATGTCGGTGGTGCGAGAAGGGCTCGTTGTATGTTTATTGATCGCAACAACGTAGCATCGCACGATGTGGCTGCCAGGGTCTAATAAAGCCATGTCCTCGGGTTATAAACACCATTTGCGTAGTCATCCAAGTATATCGTTATTGTGTCGCCGTCGACTCGAAGCTCAATGTAGCCGCCGCGGGGGTCTGTGAGATCGAAGGTGTCTACACATATTTCCATGTCTGCAGCACGGTGATGATATTGAGACGGCGGCTGAAGCGATGAAGATATCGAGAAGACTCGAGGCAGCCAAGTACTGCTGCAGGAGAAGGAGTAGCTCCGCGGCTTGGCGGGGTGGTGGTGGTGGTGGTGTAGGAGGCACGGAGGCGTTGGAGCTCAAAATTTTAGCCAAAAAGTGGTTTGTGGGCCGCCGAAGGAGTCAAAGCGGAGGCAGGAGGCCAGGGAAGGCAGACCAGGAGCTCGCGAAGAGAATCCACAGGGAAGGCGGCAGTTTGGGAGGACATCTAGGAGACATTGACCTTCTTCAGCACCTTCACAGTAGCCTGTTTGCCGCCGTGAAGGTCAGTGCTGGTTGCTGCACCCTTTTGGTGACCTCGATGTTGTCCAGCTTTACCTTCCTGGCTGCCCAAGGTCTGGCCTCATCCCACGGACAGAGTCCTAGCACCACCCTCCTTCCCCTGCACGAAAGGTAAAGGCGGAGGTCATGTAGAAGCTCTTGATCATAAGATGCCTTCCCTTGTACCCCTTGTCATAGTGTTGTGATGTTGTTATGATGTTGTGATGTTGGCCTTGGTCCTTCCTCGGGCAAGCGCTGGTGTTGTCCGTGATGTTGCTCGAGCTTCGACCAAAACCTCCCAAATCACCCCACCCCCTTGAGCCCACCAACCCCCGATGCACTCTCTGTGAAGCCATCAGGAGGTTGTGGTCCTGCTCTTTGAAGGTGGGTTGCCTCGACACTCTGCGCCTCCGCCTCGGGGGTCCAGCGATGTCTTCTCGACTTCGGCAAATCGCTCCCTCAATTTGCAACCACAGGACTCTTGCCGCCCAGGCGGCGCATACTCAACTCCGTGATGGACTTCCATACCACAGAGAGCTCGACCAAAAGTGTAGGAACGGCAACGTGCACGACGAGACCGCTCGCAGCCTCCCCGCCATAGGTACCAGACGGCAAGCCGAAGAAATCACGCCCTCCTCTTGGCCTCCTTGCGGAAGAGACCTCGACGAATGCGAAAGAGATCAAGACGCTTCACACCGTCGACCACCTCATAGCAAGGTCGACTGCCATTCCGACGATACTGCGATGCCTGTTTAGAGACCACCCTACGCGACTCCGCGGTCATAGCAACAACAACAACAACTATCCTCGAAGAAGGCGGCAGACCACTCCAAGGCGCGCACCACCCCGGAAATACTACTCTTGGATACAAAGGGCTGGTCGGACAACAAAGAAGCTGAGCGGAAGCCCCTCTATACTCCGCAACCATGATTGCAACACATCCTGCACACGACGACGAGGCATCATGTCAACGCAGTCACCACCTCCGGAATACTGCTCTTGGGTACGAAAGGCTAACCAGGCCACACAGAATTAGGTTGGCGACCATTGGACTCAACACGAACAGAGTTCATCCCTTGAAACCAAAGCGGCTCTCGGAAGCGGACACCATAATCGAACAGTCACAATGACCAACCCCGCGGGGGTCCGCCCAACACCAGTACGAGCATACTCGTTGGCGGCTTCTGGGCCGTACCCCGCGCAACTGCGAACGATACCCCTGCGAGATTCGAGTCGACATAATACAAACGCCACTCTCGAGGTTGGTGTGGCTTCCTGTGGTAGGCTGGGACATCAACAACGCGGAGAATGGTCCATGTGTACGCAATTTGCAAATACCATCAGGGAGGTCCAATACGAGCATGCACCAGGCATCGCCACAACCATGCGGGACATTGGAAGCCGAGGGGCATGCTACTTTGACCGGGACGCGGATCAGGACATCGGGGCAAGGTACTTACGATGCCGTTTGGTGACAGCCGGATGGCCTCCACATCGGACCGAGCACTTGATCGGTATCCCAAAAGAGGTTCACAAAGGTCGGTTGCGACAGGGTTCCTTCGAGTCGGGCAGCCCGATCTGTGGCAATACCATACGTAC